GAAGAATGAAAAAATTGGAAAATTGCAAAACTAAAATCAAAAAATTTAAATATCGAAAGCAGTTGAGAAATCGAAAATACGAAACGCCGAATAATTCGAAAAATTGAGATTAAAAATGGAGAAATTGAAAAATCGAAAATTTAGAAACGCCAAAAAATTGAAATATCGGAAAATTGAGATATCAAAAAACAAAATGGCTGAGAAATCAAAAATATTTGAAAATTCGAGAAATTGGAGAATCAGAAAATTGAAAAATTGGCAAATTTAGGAATCCCAACGCTGAAATATGAAAAATTAAATAATCGAACAATTAAAAATCGAAAAATTGAGAGATACGTAGAAAGCGAAAGTCCGAAAAATTGAGAAATTGTAAAGTGAAAAAAATGTGAAATTGAGAATTTGAAAATTCCAAAAAACCGAAAATTCGAAAAATTGATATAAAAAAATCGGGAAACCGAAAATTCAAAAAATCAAAAATTCGTTTATCGAGAAATTGAAAAATAGAAAATTTAAAACTGCCAAAAATTGAAAAATCGAAAAATTGAGAGATCGAGAAATCGAAAACTCGAAAAATTGAGAAATGGGAAAGTCAAAAAATTGAAAAATGTAAAATCGAGAAATTGGAGAATCGGAAGATCGAAAAATTGAGAAGTAGAAAATTCGGAAAATTGATACCAAAAAATCGGGTAACCGAAAATTCGAAAATTCAAAAATTCGTTTTATCGAGAAATTGAAATATCCAAAAATTGAGAAGTCGAAAAATAAAAAATCTAAAAAACCGAAATTTCAAAAATTGAGGAATTGAAGAGTGAATAAATTGTAAAATCCCAAAACTGAAATTGAAAAATTGGTAGATTGAGAAATCGAAAATTCGAAAAATGGAGAAATGGGAAAGTCAAAAAATTGAAATATCGAAAAGTTGAGCAGTTGAGATATCGAAACACAAAATGGTTGAAAAATCAAAAATATTTGAAAAATTGGCAAATTTAGGAATCCCAAAGCTGAAATATGAAAAATTAAAAAATTGAAAATCGAGCATTGATACAGAAGTCGAAAATTTGGAAAATTGAGAAATTATAAAGCGAAAAAACGAGAAATTGAGAAATTGAAAATTCCAAAAACCGAAAATTCAGAAAATTGATACAAAAAAATCGGAAAAAGTCAAAAATTCGTTTCTGGAGAAATTGAAAAATAGAAAATTTAAAACCGCTAAAAATTGATTAATCGAAAAATTGAGAAATTGGAAATTGAAAAATCGAAAAATTGAGCAATTGAGAAGTCAAAAAGCCGAAACTTCGAAAAATTGAGATAAAAAAACAGAAATTGAAAAATTGAAAATTTGAAAAATCGAGAAATTGGAGAATCGGAAAATTGAAAAATCGACAAATTGAGTTGGGATTCCTTCCTCAATTTGTCGATTTTTCAAAATATCGAGTTGAATTAGCGAAAAATTGAGAAATTGGGATAAAAAAATCCAGAAATTGAAAAATCGAAAATTTAAAAACGCCAAAAAATTGAAATATCGGAAAATTGAGATATCGAAAAACAAAATGATTAAAAAATCAAAAATATTTGTTTGAAAATTCGGAAAATTGATACCAAAAATTCGGTTAACCGAAAATTGGAATATCCAAAAATTGAGAGTCGAAAATTGAAAAATCGAGAAAACCAAAATTTCAAAATTGAGGAATTGAATTGAAAAAAATTGAAATTTCGAAAAGTTGAGCAGTTGAGAAATCGAAAATACGAAAAGCCGAAAAATTAAAAAAATTGAGATAAAAAAATCGAAAATTTAGAAACGCCAAAAATTGAAATATCGGAAAATTGAGATATCGAAAATATTTAAAAATCGGGGATTGAAAAATTCACAAATTTAGGAATCCCAAAGCTGAAATATGAAAAATTAAAAAATTGAACAATTGAAAATCGAGCATCGATACAAAAATCGAAAATTCGAAAAATTGAGAAATTATAGAGTGAAAAAAACGAGAAATTGAGAAATTGAAAATTCCAAAAACCGAAAATTCGGAAAATTGGTTAAAAAAAAATCGGAAAAAATAAAAAATTCGTTTATGGAGAAATTGAAAAATAGAAAATTTAAAACCGCTAAAATTGAAAAATCGAAAAATTGAGCAATTGAGAAGTCGAAAATTCGAAAAGCCGAAATTCGAAAAATTGAGGTAAAAAAAATCCAGAAATTGAAAAATCGAGTTGAATTAGCGACAAATTGAGAAATTGAGATAAAAAAAATCCAGAAATTGAAAAATCGAAAATTTAGAAACGCCAAAAAATTGAAATATCGGAAAATTGACATATCGAAAAACAAAATGATTGAGAAATCAGAAATATTTGTTTGAAAACTCGGAAAAGTGATACCAAAAATTCGGTTAACCGAAAATTCAAAAAATCAAAAATTAGTTTGATCGAGAAATTGAAATGTCCAAAAATTGAGAATCGAAAATTAAAAAATCGAGAAAACCAAAATTTCAAAATTGAGGAATTTAATTGAAAAAATTTGAAAATCCCAAAACTGAAATGGAGAAATTGAGAGATCGAGCAATCGAAAAGTCGAAAATTCGAAAAATTGAGAAATTGGAAAATAAAAAAAAATCGAGAATTTGAAAAATCGAAAATTTAGGAACACCAAAAAATTGAAACATCAGAAAATTGAGAAATCGAAAAACAAAATGATTGAGAAATGAAAAATATTTGAAAAATTGGCAAATTTCGGAACCACACAGCTGAAATATGAAAAATTAAATAATCAACAATTGAAAATCGAGAAATTCGAAAAATTGAAAATTCTAAAAACCGAAAATCCGAAAAATTGAAATATCCGAAAATTGAGAAGTCGAAAAATAAAAAATCCCCAAATTGAAATCGAAAAATTGAGACATCGTGATATCGAAAAATTGAGAAATGGGAAAGTCAAAAAATCGAAAAATCGAGAAATTGAGGAATCAAAAAATTGAAAAATCCCAAACTTGACATATCAAATATATAATTCAATAATGGAAAAATTGAAAATCCAGAAATTGAAATATCGAAAAATTGAGCAATTGAGAAATCGAAAATTCGAGAAATTGAGATGAAAAAATTGAAAAATCGGACATTGAGATATCGAAAAATAAATATTGAGAAAACGAAAATATTTGAGAAATCCACAAATTGAGGATTTTCAAAACTGAAATATGAAAAATTGAATAATTGAACAATTAAAAATCGGAAAATTCAGAGAGAGAAATAGCAAATTAAAAAAATTGGGAAATCGAAAATTCGAAATATCGAGAAATTGAATTAGCGAAAAATTGAGAAATCGAAAAGACGAAAATTCGAAAAATTGAGAAATGGTAAGCCGAAAAATTCGAAAAATTGAGATAAAAAAATCGAGAAATTGAAAAGTCCAAAATTTAGAAACGCCAAAAATTGAAAAATCGAAAAATTGGAGAATCAGAAAATTGAAAAATCAGGGATTGAAAAATTGGCAAATTTAGGAATCCCAAAGCTGAAATATGAAGATTGAGTAATCGAACATTTGAAAATCGAGCAATTGAGAAATTCTAAATTCAAAAAACCGAAAATTCGAAAAATCGATATAAAAAAATCGACAAACCGAAAAATCAAAAATTCGTTTAATCGAGAAATTGAAAATTAAAAAATTTAAAACCGCCAAAAATTGAAATATGCGAAAATTGAGAAATCGAAAAATTATTAAAAAAAATACTTTTTAACGATTTACCATGCTTCCGATAGCCTTAAAACATTTACAACATCCACAGCATTCTATTTTACAATTTCAAAGTTAAATTATAAAGTCTTATTCAATTTTTTTCAAAATCTATACGCCTAAAATAAAAACTCAACAGGAATTCATAAACCACAAGTCAAGGCGTACGTTACTTTATAAAATTCGGAAAAGATGCTAATAAAAATGGACACAGATGTGGACAGACAGACGGAAACGGGAGACCTATTTTTTCGTGCTCTAGGGGTCATGAAACGTCGAGAAAACATTACAATACATCTTGGGCTTACGCTCGGGGAGTAAAAATTTGAGAAATGTAGAGGGTGTTTCAGAAACCATTCGTAAATTATCGCATTTTTTAATTTTACTTTGCGATACTCCTAGAATATGAAAAAATAGGTCCCTGATTGCCGTCTGTCGTTTGTGGCCAGTAAAACGGTAACTAAATTTTTCGGTTCATCCCCGTCAAGAATGTAATGACGTCATATTCAAATATTGCAAAATAAACCTGTAAATCTTTACGCCCTGTGCTTTTAAGTTTAACAAAAAAATCAATTTTGCACAACTACGATATATATGCACCTATTCCAAAAATTTAATTACGTCATCTTAATTTCAAACTACGTCTAAATATTTTTTTTTCCTAAAATTTCTGTTTCCGAAATTGTTTATAAGTTCGCGTTTTGTAATGTTCTTTATTTTATGTGAAATTAGTTTAAACAAAAAACTGACGTCGGTGGGTTTTTTCCTAAAGGTTTCGTAAATATTAAATGTTACAAGCTAACGAGTCTACAAAAAAACAACAACAAAAAGCAACAACTGCTAATAAACAGCGTTCCATTGTTTTGAATTTGTAGATGGCGTAAGTTTTTGTTAAAATAATACAAAAGCCGAGTTTTTTTAGCACAAAAAAGTTATTAATTACCTAAGGTCATTTTTGTTATAATAAATGAACAATGAATATTTTTTTGTAAATGTTTCATAATTACGAAACGAAAAGAAATATCTTTTTAAATACGCTTTTGAACTTGAAACGGGATTTTATTTATTGGGAAAACTTCAGCTTGTTCATTAGAGGAAATTTTATTCAGAGAAAACATTTTCGACCAATTATAGTTGGCTGAGTCGGTTGTAAAGGTGGTATTACTGCACACCTGACAAATCTGTCACCTGTCATTGTCAATTGGAGGTTATGCAGTGGTGCCACCCGAAGTTTAACACAATTAAAATATTTAAAAATCGTCGGCTTTTTCAGTGTCACCTAGCCACATTACTGAAGACTGCCGAAGAACTGAAAATCAAAGGCCTGGCCGAAGTTTCCTGGCGAGACGAAGACCAACAAAATGTCGATAGCAACAACATCAACGGAGTACAAACAGCATTACCCCAAGTATCAACAGTCATGGACAATCCAAAAATCGAAGCCCCCTCGAACAAAAGAAAAAGGGGCAGACCCCCTATAGACGACTACGAGCAGGCTTTCACAGCACCAAAGATCATGAACGTAACGGGGAATGCCGACGAAACGTATTCCAACGATGCGATGTCGACCAGTGATCACGACCTCTCCATTTGGGAGGAGGAACCATCGGCGAACGAGGCAGGAGACACGACGGAACCAGATGAACCATTACTCAGGGTTAAAAAAGAGGCTTCGGTGAGTATTTGACCAAACTCGAAACGTGTAGCCGTTTTTTAATCGATCATGAGATGTACTTTCTTCCAGATTTAAATTTAAATGTTTCGGTTTCGATATTGTTACATGGCCAACTTCATCGATATGTGCTCCATGCGCATGCTAAAAACACAAAATTTGTTCCATATTTTGCGACTTGCGTTGCTCATACAAATTAAAATACAAATTTGTATGTAGATTTGTGACGAACGACTAATGTTCTTTGGTTAAAGTCCAATCAAACGTGCTCGTAAGTTTATTGTGATTGACGTATCACGTCAAAATAATAGACGCAGTCGATTGTTTATTCAGCTGAGTTCCGCCTATAGTGCCTGCGAGTATAACCGAACAGTTGCGAGTACTTTCGTCAGCAAATGAGAGCTAAGTTAACAATGTTCGTTTATTAATAGGAATACAAATATGATACAACAGTTTAGTGATTAATTAAATCAAATGTTGGTTCTTGGTAGTTTTTTTGAGTCATAAAAACCGCATGCACTTTTATTTAAAAAAATAAATTAAAAAGTGTAGGTCGCATAATACGTGGTATTGTAAAAAATTATCTGTTACCCATATATTATCGATTTTTATTGGAATTTGGTATTAACACGAGCTGGTTATTATCCCCACCACACCGCTGCCATGTCCTTGGATTTACCTAGTTGGTGTTTGTTGCATAACGTTTGTTACACATTTTTTAAATTTATCAAAATATTTCATGATTTAGTAATATTCATGAATTATTTTTTTGTGGCGCCATCTATATTATACGGGGATAAAATGACCTCGAATTGTCAATTTTATTACTTGGTAATTATTTTTACACTGATCTAATTAAGTCTTCAACATATTTAACACAGACTTGGCACTAGCCTGTAGGAATTCAGGAAATTTGTTACTTTTTTTTTATTTAATTTATGTTTTAATTTAACTTCGCTAATGATTTCGGTTGCGCAATGTTTTGATTTCGGCACCAAAGCGACTTGGAATTGTCACACTAATGGAGAAGAATCACGCCAAAAACTGACTGTTATTGAAAATGATATTTAAAAACAAAATAGTGTTAGGTTAAAAAACATTTTCTCATTTTAGTGCAGATTATTGAAATAAAATTAATAAATAATTGCAATATTATGACATCGACTAATTATCTGCCTAAATTTGCATGTTGCATAATAAGGAATAAGGTAATCAGTATTCTAAAATTAAAATAATATTTGGCGATTTGTTTTGAAAAGGTTTCTGGTGTATTGATTTTGAACAAATTTTTAAGAATTTCAGGACCCTTGGTGTTTTGTTTTTGAAAAAGTTTTAAATAGTCTCAGGGGCTCCTAGTGTTTAGATTTTGATTAGTTTGTTTTTAAAAAAGATTTTTGTTTTTGAGAATGTTTGAAAAAAAATCTGTTTTGATCTTGGAAAAGTTTTAAAGAGTCTCAGAAGCTCCTAGTATTTCGATTTTAAAAATGTTTGAAAGAATCTCAGGGGCTCCCAATGATTTGTTTTTAAAACAGTTTGAAACATTCTCAGGGCCCCTTGATTTTTTGTTTTTGAAAATGTTTGAAAAAATCTCTGTTTTAATCTTGAAAAAGTTTAAAAGAATCTCAGGGGCCCTTCATTTTTTGGTTTTGAAAAAGTTTGAAAAAAATCTCTGTTTTGATCGTGGAAAAATTTGAGTTTGAAATAATCTCAAAAACTTCTGGTTTGATTTTGAAAAATTATTAAGAATCTCAGGGGCTTCTACAGTTTTAGTTTTGAAAAAGTGTTAAAGGAATCTTAGAGGCCCCTAATGGTTTATTTAAAAAAAAAATTGAAACAATCTCAGCCCCCCTGATTTTTTGTTTTTGAAAATGTTTGAAAAAAATTTGTTTTAATCTTGAAAAAATTTGAGTTTGAAATAATCTCAGAAACTTCTGGTTTGATTTTGAAAAAGTTTTTAAGAATCTCAGGGGCTTCCAGTGTTCTGATTTTGAAAAATTATTAAGAATCTCAGGGGCTTCTACAGTTTTGATTTTGAAGAAGTATTAAAAGAATCTCAGGGGCCCCTAATGGTTTATTAAAAAAAAAATTGAAACAATCTCAGCCCCTTCTGATTTTTTGTTTTTGAAAATGTTTGAAAAAAATTTCTGTTTTGATCTTGAAAAAGTTTGAGTTTGAAATAATCTCAAAAACTTCTGGTTTGATTTTGAAAAGTTTTTAAGAATCTCAGGGCCTTCCAGTGTTCTGATTTTGAAAAACTATTAAGAACCTCAGGGGCTTCTACAGTTTTGATTTTGAAAAAGTGTTAAAGGAATCTCAGGGGCCCCTAATGGTTTATTAAAAAAAAAATTGAAACAATATCAGCCCCTCTGATTTTTTGTTTTTGAAAATGTTTGAAAAAAATTTATGTTTTGATCTTGAAAAAATTTGAGTTTGAAATAATCTCAAAAACTTCTGGTTTAATTTTGAAAAAGTTTTTAAGAATCTCAGGGGCTTCTACAGTTTTGATTTTGAAGAAGTATTAAAAGAATCTCAGGAGCCCCTAATGGTTTATTAAAAAAAAATTGAAACAATATCAGCCCCTCTGATTTTTTGTTTTTGAAAATGTTTGAAAAAAAATTATATTTTGATCTTGAAAAAATTTGAGTTTGAAATAATCTCAAAAACTTCTGGTTTAATTTTGAAAAAGTTTTTAAGAATCTCAGGGGCTTCCAGTGTTCTGATTTTGAAAAATTATTAAGAATCTCAGGGGCTTCTACAGTTTTGATTTTGAAAAAGTGTTAAAGGAATCTCAGGAGACCTAATGGTTTATTAAAAAAAAAAATTGAAACAATCTCAGCCCCCCTGAATTTTTGTTTTTGAAAATGTTTGAAAAAAAGTTCTGTTTTGATCCTGAAAAAATTTGAGTTTGAAATAATCTCAAAAACTTCTGGTTTGATTTTGAAAAAGTTTTTAAGAATCTCAGGGGCTTCCAGTGTTCTGATTTTGAAAAATTATTAAGAATCTCAGGGGCTTTTACAGTTTTGATTTTGAAAAAGTGTTAAAAGATTCTCAGGGGCCTTTGATTTTTTGGTTTTGAGTGTTTGAAAAAATCTCAGGGACTCCGGACATTCTGTTAAAAAAAAAAAATAATAATAAAGCGATTCAAGGGCCCCCAATGATTGTTTTTAAAAAATTTGAAACAATCTCAGGACCCCTTGATTTTTTGTTTTTGAAAATGTTTGAAACAATCTCAGGGGGTTTGGATATTTTATTTTTGAAAAAGTTTGAAAAAATCTCGGTAACCCTATTGTTTTGATCTTGAGAAAGTTTTAAAGAGTCTCAGAAGCTCCTAGTGTTTCGATTTTGAAAAAGTTTTAAATATCCCTAATGATTTGTTTAAAAAAAATCGAAACAATCTCAGCCCCCCTGGTTTTTGTTTTTGAAAATGTTTGAAAAAAATTTCTGTTTTGATCTTAAAAAAGTTTGAATTTGAAATAATCTCAAAAACTTCTGGTTTGATTTTGAAAGGGTTTTTAAGAATCTCAGGGGCTTCTACAGTTTTGATTTTGAAAAAAAGTGTTAAAAGAGTCTCAGGGGCCCCTAATGGTTTATAAAAAAAAAAAATTGAACCAATCTCAGGGGGCTCGGATATTTTATTTTTGAAAAATGTTTGAAAAAAAATCTCGGGAGCCACCATTGTTTTGATCTTGAGAAAGTTTTAAAGGTTCTCAGAGGCTCCTAGTGTTTCGATTTTGAAAAAGTTTTAAATAATCCCAGGGGTCCCCAATGATTTGTTAAAAAAAAAAAATTGAAACAATGTCAGCCCCTCTGATTTTTTGTTTTTGAAAATTTTTGAAAAGAATCTGTTTTGATATTGAAAAAGTTTGAGTTTGAAATAATCTCAAAAACTTCTGGTTTGATTTTGAAAAAGTTTTTAAGAATCTCAGGGGCCCCTAATGGTTTATTAAAAAAAATAATTGAAACAATCTCAGGAGGCTCTGATATTTTATTTTTGAAAATGTTTGAAAAAAATCTCGGGAGCCACCATTGTTTTGATCTTGAGAAAATTTTAAAGATTCTCAGAGGCCCCTAGTGCTCCGATTTTGAAAAAATTTTAAATAATCCCAGGGGTCCCCAATGATTTGTTTAAAAAAAAAACAAAATTGAAACAATCTCAGCCCCCCTGATTTTTTGTTTTTGAAAATGTTTGAAAAAAATCTCGGTAGCCCCTATTGCTTTGATCTTGAGAAAGTTTTAAATATCCCCAATGATTTGTTAAAAAAAATTGAAACAATCTCAGCCCCCCCTGATTTTTTGTTTTTGAAAATGTTTGAAAAAGATTTGTTTTGATCTTGAAAAAGTTTGAATTTGAAATAATCTCAAAAACTTCCGGTTTGATTTTGAAAAAGTTTTTAAGAATCTCAGGGGCTTCTACAGTTTTGATTTTGAAAAAGTGTTTAAAGAATCTCAGGGGGCCCTAATGGTTTATTAAAAAAAAAAATTAAACAATCTCAGGGGGCTTTGATTTTTTGTTTTTGAAAATATTTGAAAAAAATCTCGAAGCCATTAGTGTTTTGATCTTGAGAAAGCGTTAAAGAGTCTCAGAGGCTCCTAGTGTTTCGATTTTGAAAAAGTTTTTCAGTAATCCCAGAGGTCCCCAAAGATTTGTTAAAAAAAAAATGAAACAATCTCAGGCCCCCCTGAATTTTTGTTTTTGAAAATGTTTGAAAAATCTCAGTTTTGATGTTGAAAAAGTTTTAAAGAGTCTCAGAGGCTCCAGTGTTTCGATTTTAAAAAAGTTTGAAACTTTCTCAGGGCTCCCTGATTTTTTTATTTTGACAGTGTTTGAAAAAAATCTCAAGGACCCCGGGTGTTCTGTTCGCAAAAAAAATCTCACGGGCTTCTAGTATTTTGATTTTGAAAAAGTTTGAAACAATCTCAGGCTTCCTGATTTTTTGGTTTTGAAAATATCCCAAGAATCAGTACAATTTTGATCTTGAAAAATGTTAAAAAAATGTCAGGGG